GAACATACCAAGCAGGTGCAAAACCAAACGTTTCGGATGCTTTGCCCTGAATATCGAGATTTAATAATCGAACGACTGTGGAACAGATCACACTTACGACAAAACCGATTAGTTTCATTGCGGCATTAAGCAAACGAATACGATCCATTTGTTCAACACCTTCGCTGTTTGGTACATAATATAAATATCCGAATAAACCGGCGAGAACAGTACCAAAAAGTGCTAAACTTGAAAGCTTTCGACCCATGTTTTAGCAAGGCAATATCTCTACGATAGTTAATGCTATAAAATAAAAAGAAAAATTCTGCACGTGTAAGAAATGAAAAGAAAGCAAATATTTGTATGGTGTTTAGCTTATATTTACTCTCGAGAACTTTTCGTACGTTCTTGTTACGAAAGAGACAAAGTTTAAAGATTTATTTGATTTCGAACGAACGTTAAAAACTTAAGGTTAATGTTGTTAGTTTGTGGTTGTCATATTCGATGTCAAAGGATAAAGAAGAATTTTCCTCGAACTGTACATTTAACCCTATTTTGAACAATTTAGTCTGATTGAAAAGAAGAATCGAGAACGCTCATTAAATTACGGTTTCAAAACATGTTTTGCTTTCATTGTGATATCCAAAGATTACCATAAATCGATATCTATTCATCGAAATTGTGATCTAGGCAACTGCATGTATCGAAGAAGAAGAACAGGAGAGAAAGAAAAGAGATAAACGGGTTGTACATTCGTCGTTCTCTATCAAATTCAGTTTTTACCCATTTTCTATTGTGCGGAGGCAGTACAAGGTCAGTCTCAGTAATGTCCGACGACACTGATCAGTTGTGTTTTTTCTCTCTTTATGATACGTCCGTCGTGAATGTTCGTTACAGCAAGATAGATATATAGTCGTTCATTTCAGTCGGCAGATGAATTTGTGCACATTCGCACATTTTTTTCATCGGAAGATGGATCGATTTCTAATGAATGTCTTATGTTTTATTTTTAGTTTTGTATAGTAATAACTTCGTTTTTGTCGATAAATGTCATCGAACAAAGGTCGAGATTATCCAGAAGGTAACGAATCTGCTTGAAATGACCCTTCTAATTGCTTTCGTATAGATGATTCTGATCGAGATCATCAATCTTCGAAACGTGGTACGTACAAATCGAGGTTAAGGACACACTTAGACTACCTTTTGCTTTTAGCTCGTACAAGTCGTATCGATGAATTGACATCTGAATATTCTCATCGTCGTTCTTATTCATCGACTGGTACAATCGATGACAAGTCCAACCTTACTGGTCCTATTAATAATGGTTCACATTATGTTGTACCCAAAGCTCTCTCCGATGCTGGAAGTGACACTAAAAAACGTTCACGTTCACTTGTTCGTCCAACTATTCGCTCAGCTGTACCCAATTCACAAATTACAACCATCGCCAAACGACCACCTCAATCCGGCCGAGGTAAATCCGAAAATAATCTCTGCTTCGTGAGATTGCCTTCCAATTTTAGTTGGACAACGCATTGAACTCTACACAAATCATTTTCAAATCAATTTCTCCAAACGTGCCAATGAAGTAATTCTTTATCAATTCGACGTCGATGTCGAACTTCTCATGCGTGACGGCTCATGGCGATCATGTCGCAAAGATGAACGTTTACAAGTTCTCAAAACAATCATCGAACGGGAACATTTTCCACTCGTTTGGTATGATGAAGGAAAGAATTTATATGCAACGGAAAACTTAACATTGAATCACAAAAAAGAATACGAATGTCAGATCGTTCACAAAAAAACGGGACAAACCAACAAATTTCGATTCTTACTAATTAATCTCGTAAAAACTTATGAATTGCAAAGTTTATTTGATTTTATACAAAAACGAATCGATGTTCGGCCACATGACCCCGTTCGAATTCTCGAAACATTATTCAAACAAACCCAACGATCGGACATGATCACCATTAAAAACCAATCGTATCCGAAACATCAACGGTTGGATGATCTCGGCGATGGCCGCGGTCTCGCATCAGGTTTTTACCAAGCAATTGTTCTTGGCGAACGTGGTCCGACATTAAACATCAACAACACTTTTTGTTGCTTTTATCAAAACTATAATTTAGTCGAATTTCTTTCGTGTTATTTGAATCACGATATCCGACGACACGGCATTCCACCTAAAGATCAGCCATTACTCGTTCGAAAAGTTCTCAAATCGCTCTGGTTTGTTACATCGCATACGAACAAAGTTCGGCGATATCGTTTGAAATCATTCGGTCGCCCTGCAGATGAACATAAATTTACGAAGAAAGAAGGCGATCAGACCACCGTTGCTGATTATTTTCATGACAAATATAACATTCGCTTACGTCATCCTCATTTACCTGTCGTTGAGCTTTATAATCCAGTTAATAAGAATCAATCGAACTTTTTACCAATGGAAATGGTCACTGTTGATGAATGGCAACGAAGTTTAAAAGCATTAACGACTGAACAACGCGCGAAAGTGACAAAGAAAACCGTTGTTCGTCCAGGTGAACGTTACGGAATGATTCGTCGTGTTGCCGATGAACGTCGATTCAATCAAGATTCATATTTGGAACGATTTGGTTTAACTGTCGATGTTAATGAAATGTTATTAGTACCAGCAAGAATTTTACCACCACCAGAAATCAAATATAAATCATCGCGTGATCAAAGTGATACAGTCGAACGTGTTCAAATCGGTAAATGGTGGTTAAATAATCGTTTCAACAAAGCACGCGAAATTCGAACATGGGCCGTTGTTCTCGTTAGTCAACGTGAACCTGATGATCGACAAATTCGTCTCGCAAGAGACTTTGCTCGTCGACTTCCACAGGTTTGCTTGAAATCTTTTGTGTAAAGCGAAACGAGACATTGAGAATTTTTCATTTAGGCAATGTCGAAATATGGCCTTCGATTAAGTTCATCACCTATTGAGAAGTCTGATGCAGCTGTACCACAAACAATCCTTGCTCGTATGAATGAACTCAAAATGCAAGGATGCGAAGTTATTATTTATATTCTCAATCAAGTCGGTGATGACATTTATCATGCAATTAAATTCTTTGGCAATGTTAAACTTGGTATCGTTACACAATGTACACGTTTCGATCGACTTATGTCAAATAGTGATCCTCGGAAAATGGATATGTATATTCAAAATTTAGTACAAAAATTCAATGCAAAATTAGGTGGTGTTAATCAACTTGTGTCATTAATGCGTGCATTAACATCTCCATCAGCTCGATCTGATATTTTTATGTTCTTTGGTATCGATTGTACACATATAACATGTTCACGTGAACGTCCATCGATTGCTGCTGTTATTGGTTCAAAAGATTCAACAAGTTCACAATATGCTGGTCGTGTTGTACAACAATTTTCACCGAAAGGAAAAATTGCATTGGAAATTATCAAAGATCTTCATATACTCGTTGGTGAATTAATTCGTGAATTCTCTAATCATAATTCACATTTACCGAATAAACTTGTTTTCTATCGTGCTGGTGTTGATGATGGATCATTTCAAAAAGTTCTTGACAATGAATTACGAGCAATTCAACGAGCATGTACCGGTAAGAATCATTTGCATTTTATGAATACGCGATTGACTTTGTTTTCGATAGAATTATATGGCCATAATCAATTACCGAAAATTTGTTTTGTTGTCGTCAAAAAACGACATAATACTCGATTTTTTACTTGGGATAAACAAACTAATCAAACAAACAATGTTCAACCAGGTAAATGCGTGAAGATTTCAGTTTAACTCTCGTTGATTTTTTTCAGGAACAGTCATCGATACCGATATTGTTTCGCCGAATGGTTTCGACTTTTATCTCAATTCACATGCAGCTATTCAAGGCACATCACGACCAATGCTCTATCAAGTTTTATATGATGAAATTGGTTTCACATCAGATGACATTCAACAATTGACGTAAGACACACTGCTTCTTCCCTACACTATTTAAAGCAAAGTCGTGTATTTGCAGATATTATCTCTGTCATACTGATGTCCGCTGCACAAAAGCTGTATCTGTTCCCGCACCGGTTCATTATGCAACACTATGTGTTTCACGTGGTCTCAATCTAGATTACGAAGGTCAAATGGCAAATGAACAACGAAGTATTGCTGCGTAAGTTTTTCTTTCGTTTGGGAAAAACTAGTCTCAATAAAGTCTTGTTTTAGTTCTGATTTAGATGAAGCATTATTGGATGAAGATGTTGTTGTCACGTTGGATGACGTTCAAACAACAAAGATTGACTTCAATCCATTGATTGAAAACACAATGTGGTTTGCATAAACTTTAGTGATTTGTTTTCTGTACATAGATTATTTTGTTTTTGCTGTTAATTTGCTGGTCAATTTGACCAGTTGCATTTTGTCTGAGATGGTTTACTTCTATTTGTTGCTGTTGTTGTTCTTTCTTTCTCTTTTTGGATTGTCTTTTTTGTTTCTTTTTGCATATCTTTTTTTCCTGGCTTTGTTTTGTATATGTAACTGGTGATAAGTTTGATTAGATGATAAAAATTGATTTGGCCATTCAATGAAAACCTTCTTCCTTTTTCTTTCATATTCGATTGTAGCATGAAAAAATCTCGCTACTGAAGTATAAGCACGGAGCACGATCGAGATAAAATATTGAGAAAATGCATTTCTTTCACGCCTCAATTGTTGTTAACGAGATTCGAAACGTATGTGATTTCTGTACAAAGTTGTACTGCGATAAAATTACCCACACATCCAATTGCACATAGATTTTTCTTTTTATTCGATCGAAACAAACTCTCTTGTTTGTTAAAATTATCTGTGATACTAAAGCTTGTCGCACAAAGAATGAAATATGGCAAATGAGCCACGGAATATAACACGTCAGAAGAGTTTCTTTTGCAAACAGAATTCATCCAAGAGAAATAGGTATTTATTTTTGAACTTACAAATGAGAATACAATGAAGACAAGAGAAAATACCATAGATCCGATTAGTCTGTATCTAAAAACAAGACTTTTCTTTTAAATGAACTTGAAATCTCACTTACTTTCATACAAATTTTTATAGTATTGGATTATTAGTCGTTTAATGACAACGACCTTCAACAAAATAATCATATAGAATAAAAGAAGTAGTAAAATAAAGAGTGCTTACTGAAGAGATGGCGTCCTGTATATCATTCATATTGGAGAAGATGATCCCACGTCGATCATTCCGGCGACTGGATACGTTGAAATCTGAGTCGGTTCCGGTACAGCTCTTCTCGATTCCGGCGGCAAGGAAATGGTCGGAAAACGAACCTAACCGGCCGTACCATTATAACCTAGGATATCGCCTAAGCCATTTTTACCATTTCCGCGCAATTTTATTTCCAAAAGACCTTCGTCCATATTCTATGTAGACAATAAATCAAATTGAAGAGAAAAATGACAAGTCCACATGCCAAGTCGGTTATATTGTATTGACTTTGCAACCCATGTCGATCAGTCCCGTACTCGGATCCGAAACATGGATTTTGTAAGGGTCATCATAGAACATAGCTAAAAAGATCGCTCATAAAATTTGCAACAACCGACGGGATTTTGCTATCAGTTTGCAACGGGTAATAAACCCTTTTTGGGTTTTTCAAGAAAAAAGGGTAGATTCGACTGGTGAACGGATTTTCAGTTATAAATCCTTTTTGCGAGTTGATTATTATGCTGATTTTTTTCAGTGTAAGGCGGGACAATTTTACCGCTTATATACGAATAAAACGACCGAGGTAGAGCGATTCACTTCGTGCATAATAAGAGAGCCAATCCAAAGATATATGTCAAAGATCTCCTTGCAGATGCGGGCGTTGTGGGTGATTATGGAGAGGCAAGAATTATTGTTCGAAATTCATCATCGGGCATTATTACGGGAATTAAGGATGAAAATGGAACTTATACCACTGACGCACAAACGTTAAATATAACTCGTGGATTTGGAGGACAAGTCGTTATAGTTTTGGCGTGGACAACACAGCTGCTTTCCGTCAATGTTATTCCTGCTGAAGATAATATTCAGTTTGATCCTGAAATTGGGTATGACCAATATTGTTTTCCTTTTTGTGTACGTCATGTCTCATAGTTTCGATCAGAAGTCAGCGCATAATAGGATATGTCACTTCATTCTATTCACTTTGGAGACACGCTTGACATTTCAGTGAGTTGAATACACACTACATTCTAATTTTCTAGTTACGGTGTGGTGTTCAGTTGTCTTCATCTCCTAAGAAATGTTCAAGATTCTGGAGTTCAAAGTTATTCTCCGTCGCTCGAAATGCCATAATCCGGCCAAGTTGAAAGACCAAATTCGAATGATAGTTCGAAAACGGAAACATACTCTCGGTTCAGGTCATTACAGAATTCAATTTGCGGCTTTAAAACACTTTGGAAATCCTTCGAAGTTCAATGATTGCGAAATATACCGTACGCCTCCATTCAACTTCGTATCATAACCATATATAAATCAGCATTACCAAGCACTTCTTTCGTTCGTGACTTCGCTTAGCTATCTTCTAGAAATATCTAATATTTTTTTATTAAAATAAATAATTAGCTTTTACTAAATAAATAGAATTTATCGCTTATGTTGTCCTGTTCCGAATGAAATAATTCGATTCTCAACAACATTAAAACCTGTACGGAATTTGACATGTGTGGAAACAGTTGTTAAATGAGTTTCTATACATATTCTTGTTAATTTTATTAATGAAATTAGATTCCATTAGTTAGAAAAAAAAACACACTGTATCAATCTTCAATCGATTTTTCTTTTGGTGCCTGGTAAACACCAATTGGTAAAATAGCTTTCTTCCATGTAATATTGATAACCAGAGCAGCTGATCCATACCAGGCAGCAAAAGACGTAGCAATTCCGAACCATCCACCAATATTGAGAACAACGGATGAGTTAGCTAAACTTCCAACAACTAAGAACAAAAATGTCATATTAAGAATTATAAATATATAAAACACAAGTCTGGATGTTTTATAAGCTGCAACATTTATGCAAATTGTATAGAAGAACCAGCATAATAGAAAGAAGCCAGTTGCTTTGTTGACTTTTCCAGTAGATTCTATTGTTGGAACAATATAATAAATATAACCACCAAACGATAACCAGAAAGCTCCATAGCTTGAGAACACAGTGGCACCGAAAGTATTATTTACTTGAAATTCCCACATTCCAGCTGCAAATTGTGCGATTCCGCCATAAAATAAAGCGACCGGTAAAAAAACTGCCGATACTTTAGGATCAATTAAATTTGAACCAGCATTAAACACAGAAAGCATAAAAAGAGTTAGTGCAAATGCAGCAAGACCAAGTGCTCCCGGGTTTCCAAGTGATGTTGGAACTGGTGTCTTTGCATTCAATCCGCCCATATTATGTAATAGAGATTCAAATTGTTGATCTGATAAATATGGAATATTTGAATGAGGAGGTTGATATGAACTATCGTTTGTATTCACATCAATTTCGATGTATTTTTCTTCTCTTTGTCTAACTGGCATTGTGATTGAAAGTATAACGAAGACTATTTCACAATTTCTCGTGCAGATATTTTTATCAACGTACTTAAGATATAGATTCAAATGAAAAATAATCAGTATTTATATATACATATAGTTTCATTTATATGTACGCAGACACAACAAATAAAGCGTATTTGTCAATAGACGGTATGGTGTTGAGATAGGTAGCGTACCTTTAACTTGTCGTTGATATTTAAAGTATTTGTAGATCATCCAACTAAATCTTCATTTATCATGGATTTTGTTTTTGATAATTTATAGAGAAACAAAAACACTATTTTATTTCGGTGCTAGTTGAATTAATATAATATATGTATTAAAAAAACGAGAATTTTAGTAATGAAAAGAATGTAGACATCCGAAGAAAGTGCATCGTGATTCAATTCGCAAAGGTTAATGTACTACTATAGATTATTTGCACCTTTATTTATAAAGTTAACGAGCAGAAACGCACGGCAAGTGTATACAACGAAAATGAAGTTATGTCATGAAACCAATGATTTTTTGTTTTTTCTTGGAAATTTTTCGAAAGAAAATCAAAATAAGATTTTAAATAAAACAACAAAATCATTTTTTTTGTATCTTTAGTCTTCATCCACATATTTGATTTCATGACGAAGATGTCTTTCCTTTCGGTCCAATCAAATCGAACTCATCAATTAAGCCATAGCTAAAAAAAAGCATAGATATCAAAACTACCGAGAATAGGCACACCTAGAGGATGGGTATATGAGCAGGTGTAACTATTTTACCTGAATTAATGTGTTAGAGTCAGCTGTACCTATTATTTACATTATTCTTGATTAATCAAAACAATATTATTGATAAGAAAACTGTTCGTGTATTTTTCCATACAATTATTTGAAAGTCAAATTAAAAAAGTCGCTCTTTTCATAAAACTATTCCATCGAAAAGACAAGAATTTCTTTCATTCATGATCATACAAATAGAGCATGACTACAATAGTTATACCAGTCATTACCATGAACATCGCGCTCTCGATTGTCTCATATATTAAATCTAAAACGACAAAATCACACAATAAGAAATTTACTTATTGAATAGATCATTTTCATTCTTTCATATTCGCTTGCAAATGTCATATCATTCGCATCCAATGTTTCAAGTCAACGCAATGCACTTTACAGTATAATGTTTTATCGATATCCTAGATACAAAAAAAATATTAGTTTCAAGGAAAAATAGAAAATCCAAAGTTGAACGAATTCATGAAATGATTGTCTATTTATCTATACGACACCAATAGTCTCATCGAGACTCACGTCTTGATCGTCATCAATAGTGTCGCTCGCTTTCGACAAACGAAACACGATTTATCAAAACACAATATTTTCGTCTTTGTGAAATCTCTTTTATTGTTAAGTTTCCAGAATTCAACGAACTTAATTCATCTTATAACAAGAGAAATATCCATTAAAAATGATCGTTACATGAACATTTTCCATCTGCAAAATGATGAATGCGATTAGCGTCGCGTACAATGATCTGACAATTACGAATTTGACTAATCAGTTTGATTGCATTATCTATAAAAATAATTCATGAAAAAACAAATCTTTTCGTCGTATTGTATTCGAAATCAATTATCGCCAAGTGACTTACGACAATCGCCACAAATACGAAGATTCTGCACTATTTGGATTCGTGATGGAATTGGTCGTTGAATGAAATTATATGCTAATGCCAATCTTTCACTGTGACTATTAAGAATCGATGCAACAGTTTCATCAGGCATCATTGGACGTGTTATCCAGCTTGAATCAAACTTATGACCATGTTCAATGAGTTCACTTTCGATTCGATCAAGTTCCTCATAAATTTCTTTCGTCCGTGGGTGAGATCGATCTTGAGCACGAAATTGCTAAGAATTAAATAAAATATTCGAATGAAATTAACATAGAAACATCTTATCTACCACAAGTTTATCGTTGATCTCAGTCCAAGATAATCCCATTTGTTTTTTTGCACCAGATCGACTCAGATTCCATCTCATTTGTGATGCTTCATCTAAGTTTCCCGATGCCGCTAATACATTAGTGAGAAGAACTGAAGCTGATATCAAATCTTTGTCCATAGCATGAAATAACTTTTGTATTCGTTGAGTTATTTGTCGCGCAAGAGAAACATCTTTTTGATTACGAACACCCGATAACAATGACACTAAAAATGAAATAAACTCTTTATACAATATATATAAATCTTTCTCAATCTTGTATTAATAGCGTTTCGAGGAGATGTGAAATACTTTCTATGGAAAGAAAAACGAATTCGGATAGGATTAATGACAAAACTTACTATACATAGGTAGACAAGGAGATTGATGACGTTCGAATTCTTCAATCAATTCTTTGGCTTCATCAAAAAGAGATAAACGACTCAAACAATCGACCTAAACAGATAGATTCAGAGTTTATTGTTTAATAATGAAATTTGTTTCACAACCATTGCTGTATAAACCCATTTATTTTTCATACTAATCGTTGAAAATATGAAACGAGCTTCATCAACAAGACCTGAATGCGAACAGGCATTTAACACACAAACATGAGTTTTTTCAACGATCATTTCCACTGGCATTCGATAATAAAGTTCAATTGCTTTATAACCCAATCCATTTAAACCGTATGAATTAACTAAGAAAATAGCTTCAGGAAAAGAAAAAAATATAACTTAAACTCTAAACTTACTCATAGCCGTATATGCTACAGGATCCGGTTGATCAATCTGTTTGAAGATTTGTTCTGCTTCCTTTACAAATCCTACTTTACCCTTGTTGAAAATAATAAATAGATTCAAACAAAGATAGACGACTTAATATCTAACCCACATATGGATTAGAGCTGTTTGAAACTGAAGATCATTGAACATTGAAGATGGAATTTGTTTTACAATTGTTCGACAGCGTGACTCAATACCAATTTGAGCGCATGCATCGATTAGAAGAACAAAAATGATTTTGTCTGGTTGAATGCCTTCTTTTTTCATCTTTTTGTACAAATCAATAGTTCTCATTGGCAATCGATGATCGTTGTAACATTTCATCATTTGTCCATAATCGATTACAACATGTTCCAACATATCAAATAGTTTTTCAGCATTTGAAATGTCACCACATTTGATGAACATATCAAATGTAGCAACAAGAATGTGTTTATTTTTGCGATTGATCAATGGCATTTGAAACCAAACTTTACGACCAAATTCTAGTGCCTTTTTCGTTTGAACTTGTGCACAACTACTGAATAAAAGACATAGAAGAATTTCATTTGGATTGGTAACTTTGGAAAAGAGATCAATTGCCTTTTCAGGCATACCATTCATTTTGAAACCTAAGTGGAAGAAAACGATATAGAATACAACTGAATCTATGAGTTAAAAGTAACCTTTCATTAGGGATCCATAATGCACCATTGTTTTACTCGTGGATTCATTGAAAATACATTGAGCATCGTTTACTCGACCACATCGCACTTAAATAAAGAAAGAAAAAGATTTTCCGATTAAGAATCAATTTGTTTTAATTTACTGTAGAATTGAATAAGTGATGTTTGAATGTAAATGTTATTCAACGAATCATTCGAAAGTTTTTTGTGAATGATTTCGCCACGTTCAACATAACCTAATTGACCACAAGCATTTAGTGCATGAACAAGAATTCTATCTGTGATTATTGATTGATGTTTGTATTTATCATAGAGATCAAGTGCTTTGGTAAATTGCCGTTTATCATTGAATTTTTTCATTTCAAATTCGATATTCATCTTCGCTGAACTTGTAATTGTGCGAAGAATATTGAAATGTGTTGATTTTGTATGATGACAGATAATTAGAGAAACGGTGAACATCTTAAATAGTAAATGAAATATGAATTTATTTAACATTAGTCATTAGATCGAAATCGACTTTTGATTTTTATAGTTAAAAGATAGATTATGAACCTTGATTTTGATTTAATTGTCAAACTTTACTTTACCGAAAAAGATTTATATCAAATAGCCGAGGTAACAAGTTGACTCATTCTACGAGAAAAGTTTTTTTAATGAATACACGAAGTCTATCTGTAAAACTCAATCTCTTCCTTCTCCTCCTCCTTATTTAGACACCACAAAATGATTTGTTGATCACGGGGCAGTGGCGATTCTTCTTGCATTGACAGATGTCATCAGTAGAATATAGTTGCATAAGTTCAGAGTAAATACATCGAAATGCTTTCAGAAAAAGATCAGCGATCCGGACGATGAGCGTTGCTTGTATGTAATCAAAGATCATTGTAATTAATGAAATTAAAAACTATTCTTCTATTCAAATATTACGATAAATATGACTAAAATATATGAATTTTTGATTTCGTTCGCTAGTTATCGGCAAAGGTCTTCTATGTTTCTTATGGTTGATTGTTTCTCTAGACAAGAGTAGAAAAAAAGAACGATCTATTAGATAGCGCGACCACTAGACTGATAGTCAAGTGACAGCGAAAGAAACTCCTTGCTGATAACGTAATCACAATTCCCTCACGAAAGTCTTTTTCTACCTAAAAGGAATTTGAGCTTTTATGTTTGCATTATTCTACTAATGATTACGATCATCCCTTCCAATTTACAGGAATGTCAACAAAATGCATAAAAATCTATATTATGTATCATATTTTTCAAGATCTCACATTTATTGCTCTCAATCAAAAGTAAATAGAAATGACCGATAAAATCAAATATATTCATACACAGATTCAACTCTGCCTATAAAAAATTTTATTTAACAACTAAAAGCAATTATCCACATTCGTCGTCGTTAAGGTTCATATTTGGATGATTTCCAGGTGGTAGCTCGCCATTTGGATTCTTTTTTTGATTTTTTCTGCTCAGTTTTTCAAACAATGGTTCAGCTGCATTCAGTAATGTTGCCACATCAGCATGTGCTCCACCTATTTTCACACCCAGATGAGCACAGCAAATGTTATCGAAATGCCAGTCTTTCAGCATATTACGCATCCAATCACGAAATAAATATGGTGCTTCAGCTGTTGGATGAAGTCCAGCATTTTTGATTGATGGATGAAATGCCATTGCACCACCTTTGTAACCAATTACCTTCAACAGTAAACCAGGCTTTTCTGCATACATTATTGTATCGTCGACATGAAGAGTTTTTGATGCTGGATGATAGACAAACACACTAACGAAATGATTCGATGACTCTGGCTGAGGATTAACAAATTCTGCTCCTAAAATTCAAACTGAATCCTTGTTTCATCTATATTTTATCGGTCAACGGAAAGAACCTGCAGGAATACGCATTTCGACATCTGGTTCCCATTTCTTGCGAATGTTGCAGTCATCGAGATCTCCTTTCCATGGAATATCTGTCAGACGACGAAGATGTCTTGGTGTTCCATAGTAAGCTGCTTTCGGATACAGCTGATAGAAGGCAGGAATCGAGAGTGTATGAAATGGATGTGTGGCAATGACAGCTTCAATCTTCTCACCATTGTTTGTTAATTGGTCAATTTCTTGACGAAGACGATCAGTCATTTCGACTGTATCGATGACGAGAAATCTTCCATTTCGGAGCTGTATGATTGACATTTGTGTCTCAATATCAAGAACCTTGAGAATCTTAAAACTACCGCGTACATTCCAAAATCTTGGTCCTATAGAATAAAGTTCATTTTTGTCCAGATTCTGTGCAGCATTCGGAGTTCGAGGTGAAACAGCAGATGCCATTGTGCGAAAAGTTTTAAAACTGATCTATAAAGAATATTCGGTAATAAACGTTTTTTGTGTCACACCATCAAGTAAACATAGTATTATATGCATGTCATTCGGATCATTAGGCTTACATAACTATATTCGACTAACCTATCATATCGAATACGATAGATGACGATGCGTAAAACCAAATAATGTAGAACAACAAAGAAAAAATTGAACACTGATCAATTTCAGTTTAGTCATCTAACAGTTTATTCAATAAACTACGACGAACACATTCATTCTGATATTTCCATGAGTATTACATGTCAAATCAGTAGTACCATGCCCGAAAATTACACTTAAATATTCAGCTGTTTATTTTTACGACAATTCCCACTGTTTTTCTTGTTGAGAAAAAATTGAGCTCAACTTTAACTGTTGCATATACGATCAGCAGTTTTGCCGTACCGTACTCATCAACGAACTAAACGTTTCAAGATGGGAGACGTTCTTCTGATTAACTCAAAATCTATTGCAACAAGATTTATCAACACGTCTTGGTTAAACGCAAACTCTCGTCAAAACGAATTTGATATTTTTAGTTTTGTCATAAGTCCATACTTCAACCAAAAGTATATCATATTGTACTCTTTGTCCTTTTATTTAAAGTATTTTAATAGAATTAAGATGGCAATTGATGCTCTAGAGAGTCTCTGTTAAAGACTAAATTGTTCGCCAGAAGGTTTTCATATTTTGATATTGATTTCATATCAAATTCAGGAAAGAAGAACTTGATTTCACGTTGAGCTGTTTCAGTCGAATCTAAATCACAAATAAGAGTAAAGAGAACTTGTTCATACGAGCATTCCTGACGCCTTTACCTGATCCATGACCACAATTTCTGGTATCTGTTACACCATATTGACCGCGTATTGTACTTTCTGCTTCAAATATCGTTCTGAAATAGAGTAATGTTTTTCAATTTCCATTTATTCAACAAATCGCTGTTGTACTTGAATACTTTAGTTGGACCAAGCATTGATCTCCATTCTTGTATTGCATTATCCCTTCCCAATATGTGACATGAGATTGGTCCACTACAACAAAACGAATATTTTCAATTTTTGCAGCGATAATTAACATACCAACTCATGTAATGAACGAGTCGACTATAGAAAAATTTCCCTGAATAGAGAATATCGAATGTCAAAGAAAAGAATTTGTTCGAAGTTAACCTTGATGCTCTCGATAGAATTCTCCAGCTCGTTCACTGTTCAATTGTAAACGTTTGCTTTTTACGAAGATAAACTGACGTTGAAGAATTAATTCGATAATTTCCTGAACAGAAAATGAAAAAGAACATTGTATGAAACGTGAAGACAAAATATTACCTTTATCTATACGTACATGAAATAAACGAGGCGATCGAACAACATCCGGTTTCAAAATACATAAAGTCAATTGAAACATAATAATGTATGTGTGATATCTACAATACTGGCAATATTCTTAGATTAACTGAAATCATTTTTGTGATTTAATGATCGATTCGATGAGACTACTACATTAGTTTTCGTGTGAATAACGAATGAAATTGGTTTATCGATGGATGTCGCTTCTGACTATATAGACTGAAGTTTAATTGAATGATATATATGGATGCGCCTAAGAACATATTTTTCTGTTTGAAATCTCTCAAAAAACACACACAAATACGAATAGATTTCGAAAAGTAGTCAAGTTTTGTTCGGGTATCAGTTCAACTATTTCGACTGCTTGCAGATATTCAAGGAATTCCATGTGTATGGCTCGATGATAACAAAGTAGTATGGACACTTATATACGTATTGTTGCTTTCTTGACGAAGTGATTGACGATATAACTTATTTTGATAAACTATTCCAATAAAGATCAATTTGAAACTAATGATAGGTAGAGATATAACAGTAAGCATGCATAGAAAACCAATGATTTCCTTTTCTCCATTAGAAATTGATATACGATCTCGTAAGATTAATGCAATGGAGAGAACAATACCAGTGATAGAAGCCAGAGTATCATAAAATAAGGATTTTGATTTGAGTTTTGTCGAAAGAGCTAGTTTTACAATCGACAATGTAATAAAAAAAAGAATATGTATCACGGAGTAAACACGTGTAAACCAATCACCTGTTGGTGTTTGAGGATCGATCATGAGTTGTATCTCATGAGATTTAATGCCTAGAAATGAACCAAAAATAAGTGCACCGTTGATACAGCAGACCAGATAATCTCGTCGTTCAAGATCGTTCGGTGTTTGACCTAGAATAGATGTAACGAATGACAATTTCTCCTTCTTTTTTTTCACCTTTCAAGTGCCAGAACACGAAGAAACTGCAAATTGAATTCATCAACGCACTAATTGCATAACTCAGTCCCAATATTGATCCAACAAACCAACAGTAAAACAAAGCTATTAAACCAAGATACAAACCAAGGTGGCATGTGACAACACATACAACATATGCTATCGTTTGATAGAGTTTAAATGATTTATGTCGATTAATGTCTTCTTCAGCAACACTTGAACTAGTATTATTATTCAGTGTAGCCATGAATATGTATACTTTTTCTTCACAAATACTGCTGCTTACAGAAGAATTTATATGAGTCAGAACGAAACAAAGAGTAATCATTCCTCATGGAATGAAATATTTTCTTCTATCCCATGCAATGGGATAATGCCATTCCACACAGAACCTTGATGTACGTGATGAAATCGAATGGAACGACAGGAGAAGTATTTTTACTCTGATTGATTTGATCAAAATTCAATTAGAAACAAGTTGATCAAGCAATGGCAGTGACTTATATGAAAATTCATCTTTTGACACACGATTTGCACCCGAACCTAACAAAATAGATGTACATCGATCATCAGTAAATGTATAAATCTTTGGTAAATATGTTGACTTATCACTAAATGAAAATAGTTTTCGGCGATAAAATTCACAGGTGATAATTAAACTAAAGATATTGAACTTGCTGTTATTACTCTGCTGGTATGCGTAATATGTTTGAAAAAATGCTTCGAACATTTAGATTTGTTACAAGATATAGAAAATGAAATTGGTTGTTATTGTTTCCAATTCTTTGTTCATGCACTGACTCTCAAATCAAAGAGATACCACAAAGTGATTAAGTTGATAAAGTGGAACGCGTTCCGACTGCTAAATAGCGGTTAAATAATTATTAATCGTTTCAACAAGGCACGCGAAATTTGAGTATGGTCCGTTCTTCTTGTGAGTCACTGTGAACACGATAATCGCGTCTCGCAAAAGATTTTGCTCGTATGAATGAACTCAAAATGCAAGGATGCGAAGTTATTATTTATATTCTCAATCAAGTCGGTGATGACATTTATCACGCAATTAAATTCTTTGGCAATGTTAAACTTGGTATCGTTACACAATGCACACGTTTCGATCGACTTATGTCAAATAGTGATCCTCGGAAAATGGATATGTATATTCAAAATTTAGTACAAAAATTCAATGCAAAATTAGGTGGTGTTAATCAACTTGTGTCATTAATGCGTGCATTAACATCTCCATCAGCTCGATCTGATATTTCCCTGTTAATGTGATAAGCAAGGAAGTTAAACAGAAGTAAACTAAGTCGAAAGCGCCTATGTGATATTTGTTTGCCTTGAGATAAATTTGTTTTGCATAGATTCATACGTTATCTTATGTATTTTTTATATAAATAGTTGACACACACAACTTACGGAACACTAATAGCGACAAAACAACATGACGCATTGTCGCATACTCGTAGTTTTACTTCTCTTCGTTTATCTTCATATATTTTCAGTCAATGCAACATTATTTCCTTGTAATACAACGTTCTCGTGTGGTTGTTCAAGAGCTAATGCTAATATCAATGCAAGAATAGTCGGAGGCGAAGTAGCCGTCGATCATAGCTGGGGCTGGGCCGTTTCGATACGAAGCTATTTTGGAAATCATTTCTGCGGTGGAATGATCATCTCTCCTCGTTATGTTCTTACAGCAGCACATTGTATCGAGGATTACATATTCTCAGCTAATCTTCTATCAATTGTTATAGGTTCGAACTCGTTAAATGGCGCTGACGGGCAGCAGTTCACGTTATCACGCATCATTAGCCATCCTAGTTACAATTCGAGAACAAAAGAAAATGACATTGCTATTCTTCAGCTTAGCAGTGCAATTGATTTTAAGAATGACAACGTAGCGAAAATTTGCCTTCCAAATGTCACGCCAACTGAGCAATCTAAATATCCGATCGTGACCAAACCAGTTGTAGCAATTGGTTGGGGACATACTACTTTCAACGGTAATTTGTCTAATTCATTGCAACAAGTAACAGTTAAGACAGTTGCAAGTAAAGAATCGAAATGCAAAGTTTCCATTCGAAATACAAACCTGCAATTTTGCGCTGCAGTGAACGGTGGAGGGAAAGGTAGATTTTGACAGCGAGCATAGATCATATCGTATTCTTTTTCTCTAGATACATGTCAAGGTGATTCTGGCGGCCCATTGATGTTTTATTCTAAATCGGAACAAGTGTGGGTACTTGCAGGTGTCACATCGTATGGTTATCGATGCGCATTACCAGACTACGCTGGTGTTTATACACGAACAAGTGCTTATATTAGCTGGATTCAGTCAGTTGTTGGTAACGATGGTATCGTAACCGTCCAACAAAGTAAAGCAGTGATTCATCATCGTGTTTCTTATTTCCTCACTTTCGTGGTATTTTCTCTAATGATTCTAAACCGTTGCTATTATTAAAAGTTTCGTACACGCATATCTGAGTCGGGCTTCATTTAAATGGTTGTTTGATTTTCAAACATGACACAAAATAGCAACTCTAATTCACACGAAGATTTCGCTCGAATAACTCGTTGATGATTGTCTGAAACTGTCGAGTATATTGTTACAATCTCTCTCGAAGGCGTATTCTTGTTCGATAATTGCCGTTTAATTAACTAAGTCGTGAACGAAAACAGACATGGTAATCGACATATTTAACTAACGATGCGTTGATTCGTTTGCTTTATGAAGGCCTCTGTTTGAGGATGTGGGCAATAGTCTTCTCTTCATCCTCATCCTTAAAATTTCAAGGTCCTTATTCGTCTTCTTATAGCAAATCGTTAGTTTTACTTTATATCTCAATACACTTCATTAATATGTATCGATCGTTGTGTAATAGTCTTTTATCTAAAGTGACTTAATTAGATTTTATTTCAAAGAGAATACTTGAAAAAAAGGAGGAAACGACTTTAGTCAAGTTCGACAGCCTTCTTTTGTGGCGGTGGTTCAGGGATACTGAAATCATCCAAAAACGTTTCTTGTCGTACACGCAGAATCGTATAAACGTAAATCGCAATTACTAATGCTCCGAATGATTCTTTTGAGACACGATTTGAACCCGAACCTAGCAAAGCAGATGTACCCCGATCACCAATACGCGTGTAAATCTTTGGTAAATCTGTTGATTGATTACAAGAGAAAATAGTTTTCAGCGATGAAATCTACAGGTGATGTTCATATTTAAATGAAATACGTAATTGATTGATTGTCTGATTTTTATTTGCAGTATTTTTTTAATTTGTAGAAATAATAGTAGTTTTAGTCGTTTGAGATATTGATTCTTAAAGCGTGTGACAAGATGATTACACTAAAGATATGGAATTTGTTATTGTTACTTTGCTGGTACATATAATATGTTTAATAGAAACATGAACTGTTTGTCCGCGTACAATTATAGGCAGATATGTTAAGTGATGGACTCGTTTTTTACTAAGCGATGAAGAAACTTGAACATTCGCTTATACAGAAAATCATTGTCTGAAATCATCTAATTACCCGACAGTTACCACGATGGATAGCGTTAATTGTCAATCGGTCCTATATCGATAATAGCGAGACATGACATATCTTGCTATACCCAAGTCGATCATTCCGGCGACTGGATCCGTTGAAATCTGAGTCGGTTCCGGTACAGCTCTTCTCCATTCTGGCATAGTTTTCGCCGATTCCAGCAAGTTCCTTGCCGCCGGATTCCGGCCGGAACCGACCGTGCCATAATAGCCTGGGTTGAGTTTGATATTTTGGGCTTTGACTATGAATCGACATCTGCGACACGACCATCGATTCGCCCACCGAATATAGAATCGCTAAGTGCGACATCGAGCATTACCTTCTTGACACCATTCGACGCAAACACTGTAATCTGCGCGGAAGTCACAAGTTCGGAACGTACTTTTGTTGCAGATGATTTTAGATTATTGGAAAAAGTAATTTTCTATCTTCGTAACATTTACTTCAATTTTATGAATGTTTTAGGGCATTTTCAACGCGACAGTCGATGAAGGGAAGAAAGGAACGTTTAGGTTGATGAAAAAACTTTCTCAATTACCCAGATCAACAAATCCGATCGGATTCCTGCAAACGGAATTGCATTGGAATCCGACTGGAAAAATCCCGTCGGTTGTTGCAAGTTTTATGAGCGATCTTTTTAGTTATGTTCTATGATGAACCTTAGAAAATCCAGGAAACCCATGTTTCAGATCCGACATGGGATCCGAGACCGTCGGAATCCAATGCGATTCCGTCACCAGGATTTCATCAGATCCGTCGAATTCCTGTAGGGTCTGGTAAAATCCTATATTGGGCCCGATGCGCTCCCTGTTAATCATACTGTTCGGTCGTTTTAATCATTCTCACCAACACCGGTCACCTGATTATATCTACGAATTTGTGTTCGAATCAGCGTTCGCGGCGAAATTGCCTTTATTACGCCAACTCTATAAACTTGATCGTAATAATCACAAAAGGCATTTGTATTTCATTGGAAAAACGAGTTAAACCACTTTTTTCGAATAAATAAATAAAGAATCGTACTATGATATTTTATTTAATTAGTTTCATATTACTAAAACAACAGCATTCAATTTACTACAACTAAAACTGAATTTCGACATAAGTTATACTTTGAAATCTCTCTCATCAATTGAAAACAGTTCTTCGGCCGTGAGCAAATTATCTTTTATAATAATTTCGTAACCAAATCATCGCGTTTTAATTTTTATATTCACTCCACAGACAGAAAGTCATATTCATTAGACTATTGAATACGTTCTTAGACAATAATATAAAGGCCTTAATCCGTTATTTTCTTTCCTGTATGATCCTCTGGTTTTAGCAAAATCGACAATTTTCATTTATATCTTATACATTTCACGAATATCTATCGGCTGCTCTGTAATAATATTTAACTGTTGTGCCATCTAAAGTGACTTAACTAGATTTTATTTCAAAGAGAATACTTGCAAAAAAAAGGAGAAAAAGACTTTAGTCAAGTTCGACAGCTTTCTTTTGTGGTGGTGGTTCAGGTATACTGAAATCATCCAAAAACGTTTCTTGTCGTACACGCATAATCGTATAAACGTAAATCGCAATTACTAATGCTCCGAATGATAAACCAATAACTCTTGCTCGTCGACGTTCTCTTGTTCGCCGATCAACATTTCTCATGTGTCGTTCTTCGAATCGTCTGATATAGACTTGTTCAGCTTCCGATAATTGACTTGTATCGAGCACTGGCATTACAGTTGGATCATTTGGTCGAGCTGGATTCGACGGTAATGCATTTCGTGATTTGACATTTGATGATTGTGTTGCCAAATAACGACAGCCAATGAGAGGAAGACGAAGACGAGAGACACATAATAGACCTAAAGACGACATCTAAAAGTAAAAAGAATTAATCAATTTATTTGCTTTTATGGTATTTAATTTCTTCATGTCCTTCTTTGTGTGTTATGAAACGTGCTAAGGTAAATAAATAATCACTTAGTCTATTCAAATAAATTCCCATTATCGTTTCTTGTTGTTCTTCAGTTTGATCGTGCGACCATTTGGTTAGTAAACGTTCACATCGACGACAAACAGCACGAGAAA